GGGGAGGGAATGCGGGAGCGGGATACAGCTGGGACACAGAGTTAACAAAATGTAACTAAAAAGAAAAAAAATAAATAAACCAGAAAAAAAAAAACTGCTATCATTCCTTATGAAGAAGAGACAACTGTGGTTACTCTCAGCATAATTTATATTTAATTCACAATCTAAAAATAAGATAAACGGGGCACATAGACCTATATTAGTGCTCATGGCACTGGTTTAACTTGGCTGCTTAGACCTGGAGAGGAAAAAAATAATGATAAGTAATACTTCCTTTTCCTCCTACCAGGTCTGGCCTTAGGGTATTGTGCTGGACTACATAAGAGGTAGAGCGTGAAGAGGTAGAAGGCGTTACTGCAGGGATGCTCATTCCATGAGTCAACAGCTAAGCCATGGTGGGACTCTGCAGAGATGCCACTCTATTTGATTCAACCACGCTCCTGTAAGTAATTGTTTACCAAATTCTTTCCTGTGAGTTTAGGCACTGCATTATATTGCAAAGTTTTTGTGGATAGTTTACTTTTATGGTGTTACCTTTTTCTTATCAGGAATGAAGGACATTCTTTAATACCCACCAAGAGAAGTAAAACCCAATGGATATGAGAAACACTTTCTTGTTATTCTAAAAGCAATTGCACAGTGCATTTATAGATCACTGAGTGTTAAAGAGGAGTAATCTTAGCCTGGAGTCCTGTAGCAGTGTATGGGAATATTTTGCCTTATTTTAGGTTACTGAAGTAGAGAATATAAATATTGGTGACAATTTGCAGTAGAAACCATGACATGTCTATATATCCTTGAGTAGTCAGAGAAGACCCACAACATGGAATGATCTATCTCAAAAACGTTAAAGTTTCAGAAAATGAGACATTTGACAGGAGGATGACCATGTGAGCCTGTGCATTTTGTGTATAGCAAAAGCAGAATGAAGAATATAGCATGTTCTGGTTTGAATAGAATGAACTAAATAGTGTTTTCTATTTGAGGACATAGTAGCAAAGGCTAGGAGACAGATCTACAAAGTTTTGACAATTTAGTTCAAACAAAACATCCTTTCAATAGTGAAAAAATTGTTAATATTTGCTTTTTCTAATATTTTCTTTTTTCAATTTATTTTTATTATTAGTTACATTTTATTAACTCTGTATCCCAACAGTATGCTGCTCCCTCAGTCCCTCCCAATCCCACCCTCCCTGCCCCTTTCCAAGTCCACTGATTAGAGAGGACCTACTCCCCTTTCATCTGACCCTGTTTTATCAGGTATCTTCAGGACTGGCTGCAAAGTCCTCCTCTGTGGCCTAGCAGGACTGCTCCTCCCTTGGGGGATCGGGAGGTCAAAGAGCCTGCCATTGAGTTCCTGTCAGAAATAGTCCCTGTTCCCCTTACTATGGGAAACCAATTGGTTACTGAGCTACCATGGGCTTCATCCGAGCAAAAATTCTAGGTTATATCCATACATGGTCCTTGGTGGAGTGTCAGTCTCAGAAAAGACCCCTGTGCCCAGATATATTTGGTCCTTGTGGAGCTCCTATCCTTTCCACGTCATACTAACTTCCCCTTCTTTCATATGATTCCCTGCACTCTGCCGAAGGTTTGGTTATGAGCCTTAGTATCTGCTTTGATACACTGCTAGGTAGAGTCTTTCAGAAGCCCTTTGCAGTAGGCTCCTGTCCTGTTACTTGTTTTCTCCTACATCCAATGCATATCTCATTTGTCTTTCTAAGTGAGGATTGATCATCTTACTCCATGTCCTCTTTCTTGTTTATCTTCTTTAGGTGTATAGATTTCATTATGTTTATCATATCTTATATTTTCAAATAAAATCACTTGTAACAAACATAATTTGGATTATACAAAGCAAAATACTAAAGTCGTTGGATCCTTGGACTCCTTTTAGACTGTGAAAATCCTTTAAGTGCTAAATGGAGAGTCAGTATGTATACTTATTTAAACAAAAATATGTGTATGCATAAAATCAATTTGGGAAAACGTAAGATTTTTTGTTCAATAGGAATTAGCTACATAGAATTATTGTCATTTTGCATATATTTTTTGCTATATTAAGTTATTTTGAGTATTTGAATTTAGACATTTTCCATGAATAAACCTTTCAAATTCCTCAATTTACAATGCACATTTCCAATTGTAGTTATTTATTTTTTTTTAATTTTTACTTATTTGTTACAATTAACTCACTTTGTATCCCAGCTGCAACACCCTCCCTCATCCTTTCCCAATCCTGCCCTCCCCCCCTCTTCATTTCCCATGCCTCTTCCCCAGTCCACTGATAGGGGGGGGGGGTCCTCTTCCCTTTCCATCTGACCCTCACTGATCAGGTCTCATCATGACTGGTGGCATTGTTTTCCCCTGAGGCATGTTAAGGCTGGCCCCACCACTCAGGGGGATGATCAGAGACTCAGCCACTAAATTCATGTCAGAGACAGCCCTTATTCCCTTAGTAAGAAACACACTTGGAGACTGACCTGCCATGGGATACATCAGTGCAGGGGTTCTAGGTTATCTCCATCAATGGTTCTTGGTTAGAATGTCAGTCTCAGAAAAGACCCCATTAGCCTAGGTTTTTTGGTTCTGTTGTTCTCCTTGTGGAGTTCCTGTCTTCTCCAGGTCTTTCTATCCCCCCCTTTCTTTCATAAGATTCCATGCACTCAGCCCAAAGTTTGGCTATGAATCTCAGCATCTGCTTTTATACTCTGCTGGGTAGAATCTTTCAGAGGCTCTCTGTGGTAGGCTCCTGTCCTGTCTCCTGTTTTCTCCCTCTTCCATTTCTATCATGTTTGCCTTTCTGAATGAGGATTGATTATTTTACCCAGGTCCTCCTTCTTTTTATTTTATTTTATTTTTCTTATTAGTTACATTTTGTTAACTCTGTATCCCAGTTGTATCGCGCTCCCTCATTCCCTCCCCAATCCCACCCTCTCTCCCTCATCTCCTCCCTGCCCCTTTCCAAGTCCCCTTTCATCTGATCCTGTTTTATCAGGTATCTTCAGGCCTGGCTGCAAAGTCCTCCTCTGTGGCCTAACAGTACTCCTCCCTTGGGGGGTGGGGAGGTCAAAGAGCCTGCCATTGAGTTCCTGTTAGAAATAGTCCTTGTTCCCTTTACTATGGGAAGCCAATTGAATCATATGAAAGAAGGGGAGTTAGTATGATGTGGAAAGGACAGGAGCTGCACAAAGACCAAATATATCTGGGCACAGGGTCTTTTCTGAGGCTGACATTCAACCACAGACCATGAATGGATATAAACTAGAACCTCTGCTCAGATATGGCCCGTGGTAGCTTAGTAACCAATCAATGGTTTCCCATAGTAAGGGGAACAAGGACTATTTCTAACAGGACCTCCTTCTTTTTAGTTTCTTTAGGTTTATAGATTTTTAGTATGATCATCGTATATTATTTGTCTAATATCCATTTATAAGTGAGTATATACCATGTGTGTCTTTCTGCTTCTGAGATACTTCACTCAGGATAATCTTCAGTAGTTCCCACCATTTACCTACAAATTTCATGATTTCCTTGTTTATAATTGCTGAGTTGTACAACAAAAGATCTTCGGAAGGTATCTCCATCACTTATCTGAAGCTGTACTATAGAACAATAGTAATAAAAACTGCATGGTACTGGCATAGAAACAGGTAGATGGATCAATGGAATCGACCCAGAAATAAATCCACACACTTATAGAACCTGATGTTGGACAAAGATGCCAAAACCATACAATGGAAAAAAAAAAGATAGCATCTTTAACAAATAGTGCTGATCTAACTGGATATGTACATGTAGAAAAAGGCAAATAGATCCATACTTATCACCAGCACAAAACTGAAGTCCAAGTGGATCAAAGACCTCAATGTAAAACCAGACACACTAAACCTATTAGAAGAAAAAGAGGGGAAGAGCCTTGAACTCATTGGATAGAAGACGACTTCCTGAACAGAACAACAGCACAGGCACTAAGATCAACAATCAATAAATGAAACCTCATGAAACTGAAAAGCTTCTTTAAAGCAAGGAACAGTGTGGTCAGAACCAAATGACAGCCTACAGATTGGGAAAGGATCTTCACCAACCCTATATCTGACAGAGGAAAAATATCCAGAATATATAAAGAAAAAAAGAAGTTGAAAAGCAACAAACTAAGTAATCCAATTAACAATGGGATACAGAGCTAAACAGAGAATTCTCAATAGAGGAATATAGAATGGCAAAGAAACACTTAAAGAAATGCTCAAGGTCCTTAGTCATCAGAGAAATGCAAATCAAAACAACCCTAAGATTTCACCTTACACCCTTCAGAATAGCTAAGATCTAAAACTCTAGTGATAACACTTGCTGGAGAGGTTGTGGAAAAAGGGGAGCCCTCCTCTATTGCTGGTGGGAATATAACCTTGTACAACCACTTTGGAAATCAGTCTGGTGCTTTCTCATACAATTAGGAATAGTGCAACCTTAAGATCCAGCTATACCACTCCTAGGTGTATATCCAAAAGATGCTCAAGTATACAACAAGGACATTTGCTCAGCCACGTTCATAGAAGTTTTATTTGTAATAGCCAGAACCTGAAACCAACCCAAATTTCCCTCAATTGAGGAATGGATAAGAAATTGTGGTACATTTACACAATGGAATACTACCCAGCAATTAAAAACAAGGAAATCATGAAATTTGCAGGCAAATGGTGGGAACTAGAAAAGATCATCCTGAGTGATGTATCCCAGAATCAGAAAGACACACAATGTATGTACTCACTTGTATGGATATAAAATGTATGGACATAAAATATGGGATAATCATACTAAAATCTGCACATAAATTATTGTATTTATTAAAGATTTTGAACAGTGAAAAATTTTCAGACTAGTGTCACCACAGGTAGGTGAATTTTGCATTTTGATTTCAATATTCTGGTTCATGTTCTTAAGAAAATCATTGATATATTAACATGCTGGTTGTTTGCTTGTTTTTGAACAATAAAAACACGATGAACTCAACATTGGTCATAGTTAAAACGTCAAAATTTAAAGGCTGTTGTTTTATAGATGAGGAAAGTAGGTAAATATCAAGACTAGTAGGGCTTCTGGGTCCATGTGCTGAAAAGCAAAATCTGTTATTTTCTCGTAATGGCTTCTGCATTTTTAGAAGGATCTGAGAAGTCATCAAATTCTCAAACTATGTATTTGTTCTAATTAATTATTTAGTTGCATTTTCCCAATGGATGATGTTATTCACTATCACAGCTGTACAGTGCCAGATGATACAGAGGAGGAAGATGGGCAAGGATATTATTACTATGAAAACCTCAGATGAATAGCTCTCAGTGTACATAGCTTCTGTGTCTCTATAGCAGGGACTTTCCTGATCCTCTTGGTGGCAAACCTGATCCTGTGGGAGAGGAAGGGCTCTGTGCCCCTGAATGCTAGTGAGAGAGCCTTCAGTGATGATACCTTCAAGGACCTTTTTGATTATGCACCTTCTGACAACATCACTAAGCTTGCCCTAGACTGCTGCATGGAATTTGTAAGTATCTCCATAACCCATGGTTTCTTCCCAAAGGAAACTTGCCAGCTGGTTAGTGCACTGCAGCACAGTTTGATAAAAAAGCATCAAGCACACAGATTCTTAATGTGTTTTTCAGACATAAAGGAAAGTCTATGGTACTCAAAAGTAGAAAAAGGAGGATGAAACAGTTTCACATTCTAAAGACCTACAAAAATACTCAAAGGCTTTAATTATTTGCTTATATGTAACTATTCTAAAAACATACATACAAAACACTTTTCTTAATTTATAGTCATGACATAAAAATCTAAACGATATGGCTGGTGAAGAACTCTGGATTCCTTACCTTGTTTGTAGCAGTTCAGTGTCTGTGGCATCTTCACTTAGCACACTTCAGACATCATAAAGGAAAAATGCGTTACGTGGAGTTTAATGGAATGAATAGAACTAATCTAAACTTGCACGATGTCAACAAAGGAAATAGATACATATCCTTCTCAGAAATGCCTCAGGCTGGAAGTCATTTTTTTTTAAGGTTTCCAGGTAATGAGTTTACTCAATGAGAGGACTCTGTTAGAAGTGGAACAGGCTGACTGTTATCTGTTTCAAGGTCAATCAAGAAGGATACAATAGACAAGGCTTTAATAATATGGGGTACCCAAGAAATATGTCTCTGCATTTGAAAAATAATATATTCATATTGTTTACTCAGAGTTTTATTTCATTCCTTAGTTTGTTTTAAATCAACGTTCTCTCTTCAGACATGTTTTAGTAAAAATCTAAGTGCCTCACTAACTTCTATCTTCTTCCCCCAATACATCCATGATTACTGTTGAACTGTAATTTGAATAAGAAAGCTGCAAGAAGCAATACCCCTCAAAACAAAACAAAACAAAACAAACAACAACAACAAAAAACACCTGCTCAGGTGAAAGAAAACCCCAGCCACTAGATGCAGGATGAAAATGGGACCGATTCCAGAATTACAGTTTGCAAACAATAAAATGATTGTTCAAATTATTCTCTAATTTTATTTTAATGGCTATACTTAGGACATAAAACTATAAGAATTTTGGCAAGAAAAATTTTGGCTATATGGTCAATATTATGTAAATATTAATTAATCTCTTCTGTTTTGAATTTCATCATTGTTTAGTATCTCCTAAAATGGCCACCTTTTATGTCTAATTTTATTATAATTACACAATTTCATTCAGGATTTATGAAAGACTTTGAATGCTATTGGTGTATATATTCACTGGAATTAGAAGAAAAGGAATAATTTTATAATGCCTAGGTAAAAGAAAAAATTGACCTAATAAAAAAATAAAATAACAAATAATGATACATACATGTAAATCCTATGGCATTAGATTCAAATCATACTGAAAGATAATCTTTGAAATATTCCATGATTTTACTTTGGTCATGTTTTGAGGTTTTCTTCAATTTATTTAGTAAATTTTAGAAGTGACAGGATAAGAGACTAGTGAGTAGGAAAAGGGGATGGAAGCCTAACAATTGAGGTGAGAAATCAAATGAGGTTACTGATTCAAGTGGAATAGTACATTAAATGCTCATTCTCTTAATTTTAGATCGCATGCAGTACTTGACTCTAAAAATGACATGTCTATTCAATGCATTAATATTCCGGTCATAGGTTCATTTTTTTTTTCAATTCTTCAATTTCATTTATATCTAATTTGTGAACATTTTCAGGTATCATATTGTACAATAGTAAGTGGAAATTGCTCAGATTGTTGAAGAACTGCCACACTTTCCACATCTATTTTTCAGAACCCAGAGAGGAAGCCCTAAAGACCTTGGTGAGTCCTCAGCTTTTCACCTAAACAGCTGAACAGTCCTCTGGCTTTGCCATGCTGTGAGCACTGAAAGCACTGAAAGGGGGGTAATCAGAAGAGCAGGAACAGCAGTAAGAGTGAGCAATGAAGTAAAATCATTGTGTACACTTGATACATTATAAAGAAAATCAAATAATAAATAATATTGTACATTTTTATAAACTGAACATTTAAAGAATCTTCTTTTAGCAATGTTGTGACACAGGGAATTGACTTATTATTCCACAGAAAACTTTAAACTGAACTGACCATCTATTTTTAAAAACACATTCATGTATACATCTAAGACATGTAAACTCAGATATCTTTATTATAAATTAATAACGTATCTGCATTGGCATGCTTGTTGTCAATGACAACCAAGCTAACACTTTTTGATTCCAAGGATTCTTCTGGTTCTACATCTACGTGTTGCAAACTCCATGAATTTTTTTCCTGAGTCTCAGCTGAAAGTACCTGGGCAAGGGAGTCCTATAAATACTATCACTGTTACTCTGAAGGAAATAATTTCCTCAGTTCTATATTGTCACAGCAGCTCTACTTAAATTTTGTTACCATCTCTCCCTTCTAACCCATGGCCACAACTTACCCTCAAATAAATTACTTAAACCTGGAGTACTGTCACACTCCCATAATCCCAACACTCTAGAAGGCAGAGGCAGGTGGATCTCTTTGAGCTCAAGGCCAGCTTGGTCTAGAAAGCAAGTCCAGGACAGTCCAAGTTATACAGAGAAACTCTGTCTAGAAAACAAACAAACAAATACTATTTAAATATCACATAAAAATAATAAAGAGAAAGAAGAGGAAGAGGAAGGCATACTCTGGAGCCTTATTCTAATGTAAGAATGTCACAAAGTAGTTCATTGACATTGCTTCAATTAATCCTTCCAAGCTGTAGCTCAGAACAGATACTCTAAAATGTTTTGTGGAATTTGTATCATTAACCAGCCCAATCATAATAGAGTTCTGAGCCTCATCCAACTTAAGCCATCACTCTTATTCATATGCTTCCAGCAACCTGCATTGCCATACTTTCATTTATTCCTTTCTTTCATATACTTCTCATATTTCTATTATGGTGCCCATTGAATACTACTCTGCTCTGAATTTTCATCACTAGATTAGTTAAAAGACATCAACACAGCAAACATTTTAAATCAGTCATGAGGTACATATACAATACTGACATATACTAAAGTGTCAAAATTCAATTGTGATTTCTACACCTTCAATGGCCCCCGGTGATCTTCAGCTATACTTGTCAATAATGTTCAGTTCTGTCAGAGGAAGGGCAGAAGTGTTGTAAACTGAGAAACCATATTTATTAATGACAGGTTGTCTTCAAGATACATTTATATCAATATCCTCAAATTAATAGTGAATATCTTGAAAATATTCTAATTTTCTGGTGTCATAAATATGAGTTAAAATGATTTGTAATTGAATTTAGTAGAATCTCTCTTTTTAATTTAGGTCCAGTGGGCACCTCCTCAGTTCCAAGAAAGGCTTAGAGACTCATGGACAAACAAAACAGTCAAATATGGAAGGTCTTACAGAATAGACAAATGGTAGAATTGCAGAAAGAAAACACAACATGTTCAATTATATAGTTCATTATAAATTGATATTTATATAAACTATTTAGGTTTGGAAGTTATAGGTGAATAGTTTAATTTTTATATTGCTACATCATTTTCATCTCAAGAAAACCCTACTTCTCTGTGAGAATAACAAATAAGTATGGTAGTTCATGTCCTCTGATTAAAAGTCATGTATATGTGATCCACAATATTAACAAACTGAAAGAAAAAAAAAAAACAAATGATAATCTCCCTAGATGTTGAAAAAGCATTTGACAAAATCCAACATCCATTCATGTTTAAAGTATTAGAGAGATCAGGGATAAAAGGCGCATATCTAAACGTAGTAAAGGCGATATACAGCAAGCTATAGCCAACATCAAACTGAATGGAGAGAAACTTAAAGCAATCCCACTGAAATCAGGGACAAGACAAGGCTGCCCACTCTCTCCATATAGCTTCAACATTGTTCTGGAAGTCCTTGCTGGAGCAATAAGACAATTGAAGGAGATCAAGGGGAAACAAATTGGAAAGGAAGAAGTCAAATTATCACTGTTTGCAGATGATATGATAGTATACATGAGTGACCCCAAAAACTCTACCAGGGAACTCCTACAGCTGATAAACACCTTCAACCAAGTGGCCGGAAACAAAATTAACTCAAAAAAATCAGTAGCACTTCTGTATACAAAAGACAAAATGGCTGAGAAAGAAATTAGGGAAACAACACCCTTCAAAATAGCCACAAATGACATAAAGTACCTTGGTGTAACCCTAACCAAGCAAGTCAAAGACTTGTATGAAAAAAATTTCAAGTCTCTGAAGAAAGAATTAGAAGAAGATATGAGAAGATGGAAAGATTTCCCATGCTCATGGCTTGGCAGGATTAACATAGTAAAAATGGCCATCTTACCAAAAGCAATCTACAGATTTAATGCAATTCCCATCAAATTACCAACACAATTCTTTACAGACCTGGAAAGAAAAATTCTCAACTTCATATGGAATAACAAGAAACCTAGAATTGCTAAAACAATCCTCTACAATAAAAGATCTTCTGGAGGTATCTCCATCTCTGACCTCAAACTGTACTATAGAGCAACAGTTATAAAAACTGCATGGTACTGGCATAGAAACAGAATGGTGGATCAATGGAACCGAACAGAAGACCCAGAAATAAACCCCCACAGTTATGGACACATGATTTTTGACAAAGGTGCAAAAACCATACAATGGAAAAAAAAGATAACATCTTCAACAAATGGTGCTGGTCTAACTGGATGTCTACATGTAGAAAAATTCAAATAGATCCATACTTATCACCCTGCACAAAACTGAAGTCCAAGTGGATCAAAGAACTTAACATAAAATCAGACAGATTAAATGGCTAGAAAAAAAAGTGGGGAATACCCTAGAACTCATTGGTACAGGAGAAAACTTCCTGAACAGAACACCAACAGCACAGGCTCTAAGAGCAACAATCAATAAATGGGACCTCATGAAACTGAAAAGCTTCTGTAAAACAAAGGACACTGTCATCAAAACAAAGCGACTGCCTACAGATTGGGAAAGAATCTTCACCAACCCTTTATCTGACAGAGGACTCATATCCAGTATATATAAAGAACTAAAGAAGCCAAAAAGTAGCAAACCAAGTAATCCACTTAAAAAATGGGGAATAGAGCTAAACAAAGAACTCTCTGTAGAGGAATATCAAATGGCAGAGAAGCATTTAAAGAAATGCTCAACCTCATTAACCATTAGGGAAATGCAAATCAAAACAACCCTGAGATTTCACCTTACACCCATCAGAATGGCCAAGATCAAAAACTCAAGTGACAACACATGCTGGAGAGGTTGTGGAGAAAGGGGAACCCTTCTCCACTGCTGGTGGGAATGTAAACTTGTACAACCACTCTGGAAATCAATCTGGTGCTTTCTCAGACAACTAGGAATAACACTTCCTCAAAATCCAGCCATATCTCTCCTAGGCCTATACCCAAAAGAGGCTCAAGTACACAAAAAGGACATTTGCTCATCCATGTTTGTAGCAGCTTTATTTGTGATAGCCAGAAGCTGGAAATAGCCCAGATGCCCCTCAACTGAAGAATGGATGCAGAAATTGTGGTACATCTATACAATGGAGTATTAGTCAGCACGAAAAATAAGGAAATCATGAAATTTGCAGGTAAATGGTGGGACCTGGAAAGGATCATCCTGAGTGAGTTGTCCCAGAAGCAAAAAGACATGCATGGTATATACTCACTCATATAAACATACAACATAGGATAAACCCACTAAAATCGGTACATCTAAACAAACTAAGCAAAAGAGAGGACCCTAACTAAAATGCTCAATCCCCATCCTGAAAGGCAAAGAGGATGGACATCAGAAAAAGAAGAAAACAGGAAACAACCTAGGAACCTGCTACAGAGGGCCTCTGAAAGCCAAAAGAAGAAAACATGAAACAACCTAGGAACCTGCCACAAAGGGCCTCTGAAAGCCTCTGCCCTGCAGACTATCAAAGCAGATACTGAGCCTGATGGCCAACTGTCCGGCAGAGTGAATGGAATTTTAGGTAAGAAGTGCGAAATAGTAAGAGCTAGAGAGGACAGGAACTCCACAAGGAGAGCAACAGAACAAGAAAATTTGAACACAGGGAACTTCCCAGAGACTCATACTCCAACCAAGGACTATTCATGGAGATAACCTAGAACCCCTGCACAGATGTAGCCCATGGCAGGTCAATGTCCAAGTGGGTTACCTAGTAATGGGAAGAGGGACTGCCTCTGACATAATCTGATTGGTCTGCTCTTTGATCTCCTCCCCCTGAGGGGGGAGCAGCCTTACCAGGCCACAGAAGATGACAATGCAGCCACTTCTGATGAGAACTGATAGTCTAAGATCAGAAAGAAGGAGAGGAGGACCTCCCCTATCAGTGGACTTGGGGAGGGGCATGCATGAAGAAAGGGGCGGAAGGGTGGGATCGGGAGGGGAGGAGGGAGGGGCTTATGGGGGGGATACAAAATGAATAAAGTGTAATTAATAATAATAAAAATATTAAAAAAATCATGTATAACTAATGTTTTCATATTTAACTTATATTAATTTGATTTTTCAATAACTGTTATATAGTTTGAAGACTATTTGGATATGACACTCATCATATTGCTTGCTTGGGAAGATCTCTGAAACACTTAGTGACAGAACTCAGTGTTATGCCACGAGTCCCTGATGCTATCCTATCAAGAGTCAGAATCACTGAAGCCCATAAATACCTTCTAGATAACATCACAAGGATCATATCTGAGGTGGGCAATCTTACACTATTTTCTTTTTAATGAATGATGTGACTTCTGTAGTGAAGGATAAATTTTGAAACAATGTACTTTGAAAGAACAAAAGTTAGGCATCTAGCCTTCTATTAAGCCTCTCTGTCAGAAAAATAGACACAAATTTATATCAAGTCCTCAAAGGTATTTGTACAGCACCTTTCCTGGGCTGAGTAAAATGCCAACAAACAATATATCTGATTACATATTCTTATAAAAATCACTCCTGGCTAAACGGCTTCTTTTTAATTTATTATTTTTACAATTTATTAACTTACCTCACCGAGGATGATCTTTTCTAGTTCTATCCATTTGCTTACAAATTTCATGATTTCCTTGTTATTAATAACTGAGTAGTATTCCATTCTGTAAATGCACCACAAATTTCTTTATCCATTCCTCGGTTGAGGGACATCTAGATTATTTATAGCTTTGACTATTATGAATAAAGCTGCTATGAACCTAGTTGAGCAAATGTCCTTGTTGCATGATGGAGCATTTTTTGGGTATATGCCTAGGAGTGGTATATCTCTTTCTTGAAGTAGCACTATTCCCAATTTTCTGAGAAAGCACCAGAAGATTTCCAAAGTGGTTGTATAAGTTTGCACTCCCACCAGCAATGGAGGACGGTTCCCCTTTCTCCACATCCTCTCCATCATGTGTTGTCACTTGAGGTTTTGATCTTAGCCATTCTGGTGGGTGCAATGTAAAATCTCAGGGTCATTTTGTATTGTATTTCCCTGATGACTAAGGACGTTGAGCATGTTAAATAACTGTCCTCATTTTTTTTGCATGGTCTTTTGGGCATACAAACATGTGTGCTCAATGTAGCAAAATCCTGGTGTTCCATTTGTCTAATTGCAAGTAACATGCTTTATCAGGCATAAATTTAACTCAAGAAAAAGGTGTATATAAGTCTTGCCCATAGATGAAAAAAAAGTTTTGTGTCTTGTGATAGAAATCTGTTTGTGATTGAAATTTCACATTTATAACATTTCCTTAAGTGTTATTCAATATGTAGAATGGAAAGGTCAAATGAATACAACAGTAATAATAAGTATCATCTCTGGTCAATAGGTTAATCTTGAAATTAAAAAAAAAAAAAGGAAAGAAAAGAAAGCTACCTGGTCTGGTCTGGTTAGGACTCCTTGCATCCTTGCAGTCAGATAATGAAGAAACTAATTTTTTGCTTCTTGTATGTTCTCCTACTGCCTGCACATTGAGCTAGAAGTACTTAATTTTTATTTCAACTTCCTGAGATGTCTACTTGCTCATGGTGAATGTTGCTACTCCTCAACATTTTGAGATGTTATCTGATCCATCTTTTTGAAGCTTCTTTTAATTTTATACCCTTTGAATTTTATATTAAAGTATAATGTGTCTATTAATAAAAAGAGACATGAGCTATGTCAGAGCATTGAAAGAAAATTTGTTGTTTTCTTTCATTCATTAATATCAGTATAGGAAGTTAATGTAGATAGTTATTAGAATTAATGAGTGAGATCACTGGTAAAAGCACAATAATTCTATCACAGATTTGGAAATGTTGTGATACCTTAAGAAAGTTGTTCATGCCTCTAAACCAACTCGCACAGTACAATGACAGAAAATAAAATTACCACGATGCTGCACTATGAATAACAGACCTTTTTAAATTTAAATATTTCAATATGTATGAATTAAGTGTTACAAACACACAATGGGTTTTCATTTCTCGTCTTATCATCTTCAACCATTGTTTTCCAAATTCTTCTCTTTAAGCAACATGGTAGGCATACTTAACCTATTCTCTTCACTCTATACCTGTGAAGTGTCATTTAGTATAGTTTCCAAATCATTATCTATTATTATTATTATTATAAAGCATTACCTATTATTCAAATTGTATAAATTATTGCCTCCATACTCCTGTAGCTCAGACCATACAGCAGGAAAGGTTGATTTCATCCATTCCTGCAAAGGCTGTCTCCTTCCCACTTCTCTGTGTCTCTTTCGTTGACTTTGTCAGGATTTAACACAGACGTAAGGAAAGAAGGAACTTCACTCCTAATAGAAGACTGTTGAAAAGGTCTTTTTAATTATTTTTTCCTTTTATTAAAATATTTTTTCCTCACATACTATATCCTGCTTACATGATCTTATCCACCTCCCTCTACTTTTTTCATTTCTTCCCCACCCCTTCCTTTCTTCAACCTGTCCCTTTCTGTCTCTTATTTAAAAAAAATATAGGCTTCTAAGAGATATTGATAACATAAAATAAATTTAACGCAATAAAATAAAACAAAACGCTAACACATCATAATCAGATGAAAAAACAAACATCAGAAAAAGAACCTAATGGAAGTCACAAGAAGCAGAGGTCTACTCATCTGTACACTCTGGAATCCAATATACACCCTAAACTATAAGGTATAATAAATACACAAAGGATCCAAAGGATCTAGTATGGATTTATATAGGCCCTAGGAATGCTGCTTCTTTCTCTAAGGCCACTCAGCTGATCTGTGCACTCTTTTCAATGTGATGAACACTAATAACTATGAGGTGAAAACCATTTGCACAAATTATTTTCTCCCTACTATAAGTAATCACCTAAGAAAAGAAACTTTGGTGAGGTTCAGTTTATTGAGGCTTAAATAAACACCAAGGGACACAGTCCATCCTGGCAAGAAAGGTGAGATGGATGGCCACACTTCTTTCACAACCAGAAATAAGTGATGTGAATGCTGTTGCTCTGTTTCCTTGGTCTTTTTTATCCAGTCTGAGACACAGCTTATACAATGGCCTTTTCACATTTTAGATGAGTCATGGGAGTCAAAGGGTAGAAATAAAAGCTGTTGCACCCACTATGGAAATCAGTGTAGAAGCTCCTCAAGAAGCCAGAAAGAGATTCAAAGTCATTGGAACTATCATAATTTTGGAAAACTTATTTTATTTTATATAAAATTATCTTGTTCTACTGTAATCACTTTGATTCTTGGCTTAGCATCAACAATAAATCTTAACTTAGTCAAAAGGAGACAATCTAGCAAACTGTATCTCTTCCATAACCTGTCTTTTGGGAAGCACCATAGTCCCCAAATGTGTGGTGTTGTTCTAATTAATGTCTTCCACACTTATTCATTTTATAGATAGTTTTGTTAGTTCACATCTGTGAGACATTAGGTGGTAGCTTGACTCAATGGAAAATGTTTGCAAAGAATAAGCATTGTCATTTAATGCTCATCATACCCACCCTCAAGTGTGAGCTGATATTGGCATTTAGCATATAAGGAATTTTTAAGAGCTGCTAAGTTATTACTGACATAGTTGAATCTTATGTTGCTCATTTCAGTTGTTGTTGTTTTTTTTTTTTTAAATATGAATGTCTAGAATAATGACTGGTAGTCACTATATTTAGGCCTCTGTAAGACAGTATGAGTCTCAATGAGGCACTTGGCTTCCTTATTTGGCTTACCTTTTAATGAATAGGTACTTTACAAACTCACATGCTCAACTTAGTCAGGGGTCAGTAGGTAACAAGTCCCTTCCTCTGGTGCCACACCAGCTTCCTTCTCAGAACACTTCCTGTTTCTCAAGGCCTTTAGACTGCTCTGTGGCCAATGAGTTTTTTCACTGATAGAATTGTCTATTGAAAGTTTCAAGCAGTGGATGAAAATGTTTAACCTATATTATTTTCTTTCTTCTAAGTAAAGTTCAGCTTATATTTTATACTCAAAGGCAAGATTCTTCAGTCCTTCTAATAATATACTACTATGTCTTCAGCAGAAAAGTATCCCTAACACATGTTTTTCACTAACATGTGCTGTATTAATCTGTGGCAGGATATTTTCCAATATAGGAAACGTTACATCATTTTTATCATCTTATCTCTAAGTCCATCAACTGCTGCTTAGTGGTCCAAGAGTATTTGGGATTATCAAGGATTGATTTTCATTGGTTGGACATTTGCCAAAGCACCACATTTTTTTCACATCAGTAACAGAGCATAGCTGTACCTTTTCCTCCAATCATTGAATCATTCTTCAGTCAGATCTTATGTCTTTCAGGCTTCCTATGAACTATTCAACCATAAAGCCTAAGTGTCCATGAATGTAATACAGACCATTGACAATATATATGACATACACAATATTCAATTTAATCTAAGAAACTATGTAAAAAAGAAACTATGCTATGCCCCTTGTTGTGTTTCCATTACTAGAAGGAAGCTCATTAGGACTAAGGAGAAGGAAAGATCCCATAGTGCTGCCTGATGTCAGTAAGGCATCTTCTCAGTCCAGCTGAAGGCAATTACCAAGTAAACCAGATGCATGTGTTCAACCAAGAGTTACACAACAACCATTAAAGGTGCAGCTAAACATGTTGGATTAGATTTAGGTCCACTTCCTTGAAGAGAGCCTATGTTTATTTCTGTAACCTGGCTTATAATATGTGACTATGGATGTTTTGGAACTATTGGAAGTCTTTTGATGTTTTGTTAAGTTAATGTCAGTTACTCATCTAAAAGAAACCCCTTAAACATCTTTATTTGCATTCTATATCACTCTTGTTACATGCCTAGTTGATACAAACTCTTTAAATTATGTCACAAATATCTACTAAAACTCACAAAGGTTAAATTTCCCAGTCTTACAGTGTTCCAATGTTCAGAAAAAAAAAAAGAAAAAGAAAAACATATGCCCTCCCATCTAAGATCCCATGAACATTTCAGAAGATGTGATGGGAACAGAAAATAATTTAAAGAAGAGAATGCCCATGTAGGACATCATTGTTTTCTGACAGCATGAAATCGCCTTCACACATCATGGAATAGAGAGAGCAGAGAGAGCATTGCAGATAAACAATGTAAGTATCTCCCTAGGCATGGCACATAAATTAGGTAATTAATGCTTATATGGCTTCATTAGTCGTCATGAAGTATTATCAATACTCAAGAAGGAAAAATCCTGGGACTCCAGAATTTACTTCCTCCAAGTACCCACGAAGGGTATGGCCTGAGGAATGGTGTAGTGAACTATATAGAAGGCAGGACTGCAGTGTGAATCAGCATTCCTGGGTCAGTAGACAAACTGTGATGAGAATTTACACAGATGTTGCTGTTTTCCAACCATGCTTTTGCAAGTAATCCTTCCCTAAGTACATTCGTTTACCACACTTGTTTGGACATTTTACATTTTATTGTCATCTTTGTGCTATCTAAGCCAGTGAGCATTTGCTCCTGCCTAACCAACACAAACAAAGTCAGACAGAGCTAAGAAATGCTTTCCAATCATTGCCCTCAGCTCTGTTTTTTAAACAATTTATTTAATTTTATGTGCATTAATGTGAAGGTGTCAGATCCCTTGGAATTGGAGTTACAGACAGTTGTGAGTTGTCATGTGGGTGCTGGGAATTGAAACTGGGTTCTTTTGGAAGAGCAGATAGTGTTCCTAACCACTGAACCATCACTCCAGCCCCCCAGTCATTGCTCTAAAAAGCTAATACAGCATACATTTTTGAATTACAGTTCTTAAAGGAGAATCTAAAAATAAAATTTTAGGGTTCTTAAAGGAGAATCTAAACTACCTGTCTTCCCCCTTAGACAGGTAGATATGTCTAAAGGTGTTTTGAATTTTCTTAATTGACCTAAGGTAGAAAAGAGGATTATTGCCAGCATCTAATGGTGGGAACAAGAGTTGTGTCTACACAAAACTCAAATGTCCAGGAGAGTTTCAGAACATGGATGATATATCTTCTAGATTTAAAATTAGGGGAGCAGCCTCGCTAAGCCACAGAGGAGGACATTGCAGCCAGTCCTGAAGATACCTGATAAGCTAGGGTCAGATGGAAGGGGAGGAGGACCTTTTCTATTAGTGAACTTGGAAAGGGGCAGGGAGGAGATGAAGGAAGGAGGGTGGGGATGGGAGGGAATGAGAGAGGGGGCTACAGCTTCGATACAAAGTAAATAATTACCTGAGATTAATATAAAAAATAAAAACCATAAAAATTGCTTATATTTATTCATTTTAGAGAAATGAGATTACAAGAATCAGCAGGCTGAATTTCTAACAACTTGAGAAGGAAGAAAGTAACTTTGCTGTCCTCGACTCCATTTCATTTGTAGACCAGGCTGTCCTTGATCTCACATTGATAGGCTTGTCTCTCTTTCACTGAATGCTGGGTTTATAGGTGTACACCACCACACCCAGCTCATTTTCTGGATTTTATGTCTCCCTGAGCTCCTTAACTGGAATAATGGACTTAATCATATTGCTAATTATGGGTACATAATAGATAATTCTAACAGAAGTGGCTCTGGACATTGTTGACAATGTAATTAAAGAAAAGTACTCGTGAAAATATGAACATTAGACTATCATTTGTTTTTATTTTTGATAATGTTTTTAAATAAAACGAATCAGTTATAAGCATGTGTATATTTAGACAGAGTCTCACCACATGGTCTGGAGCTCACTACATAAAACCAGTTGACTTTATAGTCACTGAGGTCCACCTCCCTTTGTCTCCTGAATACTGAGATTAGAAGTGTGCTCCAACATGCCTAGTTCACGTATTTGTCTTTATGAAGTGAAAAGCCAAATTCACTCATTGTTGTGTATTAATCTTCAACTTCAAGTCCTTCAGATGACAAATAAAAGGAATTTATATGTATGAGAAAGCACATAGGTTTTTTTTTCTTGGATTGAATTCATTTCTGTCTCTCTCTCTCTCTCCTTTCTTTAATCATTTTACAGCTTGATCCCAGCCCCCTCCTTTATCTTCTCTCAGTTCTACTCTCACATCCTCCTCCCCTCACTCCACCATCTCCTTCTTCTCAGAGAAGAGAAGGCTCCCAAGGAGTACTAAGCCACTCTGGCACCCCAAGTCACAGCAGAACACAGCATCCTCTTTCACTGAGGCCTGCCAAGGCCCCGCTAGGGGAAAGTGATCGAGAGGCATGCAGCATGTTGGCTATGGATTTTTGTAAATTTCCTTTCTATGCTAGAAATTTTCTAAAAATCATATTTCTGTTTTGCATTTGAAATGTTGATAGTCATATTGTATAGTACATAGTTGTTTTTTTTTTTTTTCATTTATTTTGAGCATCTGAATCTAGATGTTTTTCTTGAAACTTACTAGTTCCCTAAATTTCTTTTGTACATTTCCAGCTGGATTGATCTAAAGTTTGATGGAACAGAAGTGTTTTCAGACTAGTGCCAGTAAAGATAAATGGACATTTGATTTTGAAACACACATTCTTGATCATTTTGTTGGGTGTGTAAAATTTTGGTATGTTAGGTTTGTGTATTTGTCCATCAGTAAAAGCTAAATTGGTGTTGAAACCATGATGATCATTGTATGAATATTTACAGGAAGTTGATTTACAAATCAAGAGAAGCAGATACAAGTAATATTTCTAGGGGTTCATTGATGAAGTGATTTAAAGGAAAATCCCTAACCTTTTATGGATTTTCTTTTAAGTATAGTTTGATGATATTACATAGGATCAGTCTACCCAGAGTTATTGAAAAACCCATAAAAATTTATAGCAAAATGTCAATGCATAGAATTATTTATAGTGAGTGAATAAAGGCAGCCTACAGGATGCTTTTCATGGTAAGATTCTCTTCAAACTCAATATTAGGCAATAGACAATAATGCATTTATTACTAGGCATGAAAATGAAGCAAACACAGGTAAGTTGACTTTGTTATGATGCAAATTTTACTCACTGTATATGGAACAACTTGGAGAAAGCAACCAGCAAAAGTCATCATAAATTTCCAAGACATTAAGTTATCTACAAAGAATGATTCCAAAACACTCCACTCATTTACAGTTAATTTAGGGTATTTGTTTTTTTATATCGCTCTGAAATGGTGGGAAATACTTTTGCTTTTTTTTTCAAACTGTATATACATGTATCTTCTTTAATTATATTCTCACCGTGGAAGACACTATTCACTCCCACAGCTGTTTAGTACCAGACCATAGAGTGGCAGGTGCTGTTGACAGTAAAAATTCCTCTTGATAAAGAAGAAGAAGTGCCATGGCTAACCTCAGATAAGCAGATCTCAACATCCTGTTTCTATATAGCAGGGGCACTACTTTTGACACTGCTATCAAATTTGCTTATATGTGAGAATGTTGTCTCTTTGACTGTGAATGTCTGTGGAGTTAGACATGGTGAAGGACCATGTTAGATCAAGGACCTCTTAGATCATGTTGACTTGCTGACTTACAACATCAGTAAGCTCCATAGAGACATGCTCAAGATATTTGTAAGTACCTCCTTTAACTGTAGGTTCTTTCCAAAAGAAACATTCCTGTCAGTAACTATACTATACCAAATCTAATAAAATATTTATCACACTTTTTAAAAAAAATATAGCTTCAGAAAAATGAAATGTGAAGAATGGAATAGCTTCATTCCATTTGCAAAGCATTCAATCGTTTTTTAAAATTGCTTCTACTTAACTATTAAAAGACTGTCAAAGCAGATGCTGAGCCTGATGGCCAACTGACTGGCAGAGTGAATGGAATTTTATGTAAGAAGTGGGAAATAGTAAGAGCTGGAGAGGACAGGAACTCCACAAGGAGAGCAACAGAACAAGAAAATTTGAACACAGGGAACTTCCCAGAGACTCATACTCCAACCAAGGACTATCCGTGGAGAGAAACTAGAACCCTGACAATGCAGCCACTTCTGATGAGAACTGATAGACTAAGATCAGAAAGAAGAGGAGAACCTCCCCTATCAGTGGACTTGGGGAGGGGCATGCATGCAGAAAGGGGGGGGGGTGGGGACAGGGGGGAAGGAGGGGGGGGGTTATGGGGGGATACAAAATGAATAAAATGTAATTAATAAAAGTTAAATAAAAAAATTAAAAAAGAATATCAATTTGTGCCAATAAAAACAAGAGGTAAAGTAACACAGATACACACTCACAATAGGTTTTGATTCAAATTCTACAGAAAGATTTTTTTTTTTAAAGCACAATTGTCACAAAAAAAAAAAAAAATCCTAAAAGATACAGCTGGGAAATAATTCTGATTCCCTCATCGGTTTTGCACACATCTTTTTTTGTTTGTTGTTTTTTTGGCATTGCCTGTAACCAATTGAGGATCAATGCGTTGCATGGAGCCTAGTAGAAGTAATTAATACAATGGATCTATTTTTTTTAATTCAAGAATAGAAAAAAGTAGTAGGTTTACAAATTTACAAAAACTCCTCAGATATAGGAGTCACTGTTTAAAGATTTCGGTGGATGAGTCATCCAATGGGAAAGCTGGGTTCGAAGTTTAATAGGTTCAGTCTTCTAGGTACCTGTAGTTACCTATCAAAGTAAGTTAGTGTTGAGGAAGCGATAATAGAAATGGTTTCAGTATTACAATAGCCACTTAATAAATGTGTCTCTGAAGTTATAATAAATATGCATTCATGTTACTTTTTTTTTTCATGTTACATTTTATTTACAAATTTTTCCTTCACTTACCTCCTTCTGTCTCAGGTTGTCAGTGACTTCTCTTTGAAAAAATTCTATCTTTTTTTCTATCTTTCTTTCTTTTTTAGATTGATGAAATTTTATCGAATGCTGAACAAAGAATGACTAATCAGGGTAATAATCTGGAATTGGGAACACCAGACTATGATGCTGGATTGTTTCTTTTTATGGTTATTAATTAATTAACATTTTTAAATTTGTGAGTACCTCATTTATTTTCATCACCCTTTCCCACAGAGACTTCATGCTAATGACTTTGTTACGATCTAAATAAGAATATCCCATTAACCAAATTCCAAATTATACATCCCCACAGGTAAAAGACTCCACTACCATTTTAAGAAAACAACAGCAAACAAAACAAAGAAAGAATGGGAAAGCTTCAGGGAATATAATTAGCAGAGCTTACTGTGATTTCTTGCTTTTCTCTAAATACACAGGCTTTTAAAGTTTTGTTTACATATTTACAAGAGATATAAAGATGCAAAGAATTGTGGTGGAGGAAGAAACATGATTTTCTGGTTTTACTTATGAGGAGCTCATCTCAGGAGACATATTTCACTAACCACACTGTAGGAATTCAGTAAAGGAAAATTGTACTGTAGTTAGTTGAGTGTAGGAAACAGAAGGACACTGAATGAAAACTATGTCATGGAGGGGAACTAATTCCTCTCAACAACATTCAATACTAAGAATGAGCCCTGGCTTAAAGCTCTCTAGTGTTGGGGTTCATTCTGGGAGACGGGCTGGCTGGCAAGCAACTGAAAATGTAGGCTTCCTCTTCCCTATCACTGCATGCTATGTGTTCAAGGTTAGTCAGTGTGAAAGACCATAACAGGTAAGGCTTCAGTCATAGAATGCACATCAATAGAATGTTTCCTGCCTTTGCCATAAATACCTGTTCATGCTGTCTTTTTAGTTATGAGTTTCTCATTCTCTGTTCATGACTGACACTCTTTCAAATTCTCTTAACATTCCTGGTAATCCATTAAAGTTTTATACATTAGCTGATTAATAATTTTTAAATAATATGTATTTTAATAACATAATTAATTAAATATGATATGTAAAGGATTATATATAAAATAATATGCAATAATTAACCATTTGTGTTTTTTAATGTTTTTACTGTCTTAGTATTTTCTGAATGTCGCCTATTTTTGTCAGAGCTGATACAATTCTTGTCAAAATTCATGATTAAGTGTGAATTCCATGTGTGCATATATTCATTGAGAGCAGGAAAAAAAGCATAATTCTATAATACCTAGATTAAAAAGATCAATTTGGACTATGAGACAGCAAAAGATTAATATATACAGATACACATAAACTATGGCATTAAACTCAAACTTTAAAGAAAGGTAATTTTTTGAATTTGTTATTATTATTATTAATACAATTATTTCAACTTGTATCCCGGCTGTGACCCCTCTCTCATCACCTCCCAATCCCCTGTCCCTCCCTTTTCTTCCCTTAAGCCCCTTCCCTAGACCACTGATAGAGGAAGACCTCCTCCCGTTCTATCTGACCCTAGCCTATGAGGTCTTATCAGGACTGGGTGCATAGGGAACATGACAGGAGCCTACCACAAAGAACCTGAGAAAGACTACCCAGCAGGGTATGGAAGCAGATGCTGAGACTCATAGCCAAACTTTGGGCAGAATGTATGGAATCTTATGAAAAAAGGGGGAGATAGAAAGACCTGGAGGGGACAGGAGCTCCACAGGGATTGCAACAGAACCATCAAATCTGGGCACAGGGGTCTTTTCTGAGACTGATACTCCAACCAAGGACCTTGCATGGTGATAACCTAGAACCCCTGCACAGACGTAGCTGATAGCAGTTAAGTGTCCAAGTGATTTTACATTCTTAATGTTTTTCTAAATATAGTTGAATATTTAAAGGGAAAAGGATAAACAAACAATATGGTATAACTAGTAAATGAATGACTATCATTTTGATCATTAGATTCATCCTGGAATTGAAAATGAGGGCTATGCTGAGTGGTCAGCTCTGAAATCCTTGCAGGAAGCTGATGAAGACACTTGCCTGTTGCTTTATTTAAATTGCCCTTCTGTTTGAGGATTGACACATAAGGCTGGCCTTGATCTCAAATACCTGTTGTGTGTAATTGTTGGTGATAGCACATAGTCATCTTCAGGGTTTGGAAATGAACCCTACGATCTACTCTTTTGATGACTGTTTCTAATTTTATACATTTGAGGACATACATGCCTATAGGGAGTCTCTTTAAAGAAATAGGAAGTAGGTTTACTCAAAGTGTAAAAAGGAAATTTGTCATCTTTTATTTTTCATTTAGCACTAAATGTAACAATAATGCTGAAAGCCTCCTATCACAAATAAGAGATGTTTGATTGGAAAATTAGGCAATTTATATCTTATATCTTAGAGCTATAATAAAGTAATGTTGATCAAGTTATTAAAATCAAAGCAAGAGATCATAATTAAAAGTACAGCAAAGCTACTTAAAATACTGGCATGTTGGTATATCTTTTAAATGCAAGGCATTTCTTTAAACCAGTGAAATAACAGAAAATATGTTCTCTTTTCTCTTTGTCTATCAATCTTTGTTCTAGTTTCAATGTGTCTCATATAAATTATTTAATACATTTACTGTTGTTCTATTTTGGCTCACATCACACATCAGAAGAGGCAGACATGGAGATGGTTAGTTTCTGCAATACTATAGTATTTACTTCTTCATATCTATTCCTTTGACTATTCAGAATGAGAAGGACAATTAAAAAATGAAAGGTCTTTCAACACTCCCTTATATGGTGGCAGGTTACTCTTTCCTAGGGCATATGAGTGTTTACCCAATACACCTAGCAGAGAGCACTTCAGGTTACAATATTTTTATTAACCTGCATCCTCTAACTAGATTTTTCAATCTACCCCACAGCTCTGCCATTTTTTTCATCCTCTACAACCTGAGGTGTCGATCTCCTCATTAGATTGATCCCCTCATTTGTAAGGAACGTGACGGTTGAAATTAGTCAAAGTGTGCGTTATGCCGGCTGACACAGAACCATCTGCAAGAGGACTTCTGCACCAGTAGATTGCGGGGACAGTGCGGCTTCACTGCTTATCTCTCGATGGGGTTGCCTCCAGTTCTCTCTTCCCCTCTGTTCACATGAATCCAGACTAGACCAGAAAACACAATTTTTTAGCATAATTTCACCTGACATTGAGTTGTTATTTTTCTTTCCTTTTGAAATCCGTGACTAATTTTATGGAGAACCACTCACCTTAGAGTAGGTCACACAGACATTTGTTGAGAGGTAAATGATATCAATACACCCTTTATATAAAGTTAAAATCCCTAATGTTCTATTTATGCTGTTTGGCAAGCAGTGCTTGGTGGATGGGAACTCAGCTTGTTAACTGTCTCTAAGAAACCTGAACCTAGGTTTTTATGAGCTTTCAACCATAAGATCCCCTTAAAAGGGGCTCAATTGCCAGGCTATATATGCTACTAGTGTCTGGGATTTTCTAGGATTCTCAGACAAAGAGACACAACATTTTGACAGACATGTGAAGAAATGATTAGGATGAAAAACATCAACAAAAACAACAGCAAAACAAACAGCTGGATTGCTAAAAAGAAAATGAAAGAATAGAAAACCAGTGAAAGACATAATAGAAAGGCTATCATTCTGTTAGGATATCAAACTTCATAAATTAGCTAAAACTACCTTAAATTTTAGAACCTAATAACAAATTTTATGACCTTTTCTACTATCCCACGTCATTTCTCTCCTTTTTGCTGTCTTGAATGTTTATTAAAATTGGAATTAAAATTCCACTCACTGAATTATTAAAGCTTTAAAGAAAAAAAAAAAAAACAACTCAGAGCATTCTCCATGTGACAATTCAAGAAAAAAATTCTACTATATTACAAATTTTGATGCTTATTATTTAACCAAACTAATAGCGTCTCTCTTTTTTGTTTTTTTTAATTTAATTAAATTTATTTTTTATTATTAGTTACGTTTTATTAACTCGGTATCCCAGCTGTATCTTGCTCCCTTATTCCCTCCCAATCCCACCATCCCTCCCTCATCTCCACCCTGCCCCTTTCCAAATCCACTGATTGGGGGAGACCTCCTCCCTTTCATCTGACCCTGTTTTATCAGGTATCTTCAGGACTGGCTGCAAAGTCCTCCTCTGTGGCCTAGCAGGACTGCTCCTCCCTTGAGGGGTGGGGAGGTCAAAGAGCCTGCCATTGCGTTCCTGTCAGAAATAGTCCTTGTTCCCCTTACTATGGGAAACCAATTGGTTACTGAGCTACCACTGGCTACATCTGAGCAGAGGTTCTAGTTTATATCCATACATGGTCCTTGGTGGAGTGTCAGCCTCAGAAAAGACTCCTGTGCCCAGATACATTTGGTCCTTCTGGAGCTCCTGTTCTTTCCACGTCATACTAACTCCCCTTCTTTCATATGATTCCCTGCACTCTGCCGAAGGTTTGGTTATGAGTTTTAGTATCTGCTTTGAAACACTGCTAGGTAGAGTCTTTCAGATGCCTTCTGCAGTAGACTCCTGTCATACGTCCAATGCACATCCCATTTTTCTTTCCATGTGAGGATTGATCATCTTACCCCATGTGGCGCTTTCTTGTTTATCTTCTTTAGGTGTATAGATTTCATTATATTTATCATATCTTGTAGGTCTACATAAGTGAGTACATACTATGTTTGTCTTTCTCCTTCTGGGATACTTCACTCAGAATGATCTTTTCTAGATCCCACCATTTGCCTGCAAATTTCATGATTTCCTCATTTTTGATTGCTGAGTAGTATTCCATTGTGTAAAAATACCACAATTTCTGTATCCATTACTCCGTTGATGACATTTGGTTTGTTTCCAAATTCTGGCTATTACAAATAAAGCTGCTGCAAACATGGTTGAGCAAATGTCCTTGTGTACTTGAGCAAATTTCGGGTATATACCTAGCAGCGGTATAGCTGGGTCTTGAGGAAGCAATATTCCTAATTATCTGAGAAAGTGGCAGATTGACTTCCAAAGTAGTTGTTCCCGTTTACATTCCCACCAGCAGTGGAGGAGGATCCCCCTTTCTTCACAACCTCTCC